GGGCTCCGCCCCGCCGCCCGCCCCGGTGTGTTTGCAGGGAGCAGCCCCCACCCCCCCCTACCCCGGGACCCAACCCGGCAAGGGGGCCTCGCCCCGGCTGCCCCGGGCGCGCTCCCGGCTCTGGCCGCGGTTCGTGTCTGGACGGGGCCGTGCTCTGCAGTGCGGGCCTCAGTCCCGCGCTGCCCGGCCCGCTCCCCCCCGGCTGCCCGGTGCCCTCCCGCTGGGCGCACCGGGTCCCGGGTGCGCGGTCCTGTGCTGGGCGCGGCTGCATGCCGAGACCCCCCGCCGGCATCCCGTACCGGCGCCGGGCGTCCCGCTGCCGGGCATCCCATGCCCGCGCCGAGCATCCCGTACCCGTGCCGGGCATCCCGGTGCCAAGCATCCCGTCCCCGGGACCCTGCACCCAAACCGGGCGCCCTCGACCCCCGGCGGCTCCCGGCGGGGACCGGCAGGTGGAGCTGCCAGACCGGCAGACGGCCCGCGACAGCCCGGCCCGGCCGGCGCATCCCCCGACCGCTGAACTCCCGCCGGGAAGGCCGGGGCCGCGGGCACCGGACAGCGGGGCAGAGCCGGGCAGGGACCGCGCGGTCCCCGGGACTCCGCCGTGGGAAGCCGCCCGCGCAAAGCGGGCTCCGGGAACCGCGGCTGCCGGCGGAAAGGGAAGCTCCGAAGCCGCCGGCGGTTACCGCTCTGCCCCCGCAGCTCTGAGAGAAACCCGCCGACCCCGGTGCCTGCCTCAGCGCGCCTGTGTCCGCGCCTCGGCAACGGCTGTTTGACCCAGCCCCAGCCGCCCCGCTGCTGCGAGGCCCGGTGCGGGCCGGACCGTGGCGACGGCGGGGCAGCCGGCAGCACATCCCGGCCTTTGCCGCCCGGGGATGGCGGCAGCTGCGGCTCCTGCCCTCACACCTCGGCCCTGGGCGGCAACTCTCCTGCATCGAAGGTCACCACCGCAGGCTCCAGCGCTGGCACGGCCCTGCGGCAAGTGCCCACGGGCTGCGGTGTTCTGCCCCAATGCGCTGTGCAGGCACCGGGTGTTGGCACCTGGGCCAGGGACCCCGCCATGCCACCACCCAGGCAGAGGGGTGATCCCTGGGTTATCTCCTCCAGCTCTCTGGGCAGAGGCCACATCCACAGCCTCTGTGCTCGGGGCCTTCAAACTGTCCCGGCCACCTCCTTGCTCCTGGGTTCCCCTGTATGCCCAGCTCTGGTGGCTCACCCAAACCTGCTTGAGCCCCCTTTCCCGTGGGGCTCCTTGTCCCCTCCTTCCTCAGGCTGAAAGGTCTGTGAGGGCTGCCCGGAGCAGGCTTTGGGCCAGGGGTGGCTGCCCTGGAGCCTGGGGTGTCTGCTGTGGGGCCAGGGCTGACCTGTGGAATGGGGAGCTGCACCCAGGGGTGACCCCGGAGCAGGCTGAGGCTGGCAGGGGGAGGTGGGCAGTGCAGGGAAGGAGCCCGATGCTGCCTCGAAGGGGCCTATGGACAAGTGGTTCAGACTGTGAGAGCAGCAGCCTGGCTGTGGCAGGCCAGCAGCAGGTCTCAGGGGGACGGGAGCCCCAGGGCAGCGTGGCCTTGCAGGGGGAGAGGGCCTGGCCAGTGCTGCCTTGGTGCTGAGCAGGGCCAGAGGATGAGCATCCAGTCCCCGTGGACCTGTGGGCGCCGGACAGCTGGGGTTTGCAGCAGGCAGGAGGAAGGAAGTGGTTGATACTGAACGGTTGCTTCGCTCACCGTCCTGGTGCTATAGGGAGCAGAGGGCTGGGTGCAGCCCCGCAGAGCCCTGGGTGCAGCCGTGCACCGCACCGGCATTCATGCTGCCGAGCCTTGTGCACCGAGGGACAGGGACGGGCCAGTCCTAGCTGGGGAGGTAGAGGCCTTGTCCCAGCGGTGCTGGTCCAGAGTGGCGCGGCTGGCCTGAGCGCACGGCTCCCTGCGGCTCCCTGTGCTGTGAGGCGGCTGGAGCTGCGCTTGCTCTGTGCACCGGGCTCCAGCCCCGTGTCCCGCTGGCTGCCGGGCTCTGGCAGCAGTGCTCAGCCAGAGGGGCTTGTGGTGCCACAGCATCACCCGGGGCCAGCAGCCCCACCGCACCCCGTGGGCAGGGCCAGTGGCCCACCCAAGCCTGGGTCCCTGGGTGGGCAGTGTGGCGGGGTCCCAGGGGCTCTGTCCCCACCACCCCAGCCCCAGCAAGTGGGGGGGCACAGGGCGGTCGGGTGGGTCCCTGCAGCGCCCAGCTGCATGTTGAGGAAGTGGAGGTTTGCACAAGCCGGTGAGATACACGTGACCTGGGGAGCGCGGCAGGAGGAACCAGCAGCCGCCCCACGCAGGGCCCTGGTTCCCGCGGCACAGCCGGCCATGGCTCCATGGTTGCCCACCAAGGAGGAGAAGTATGGCGTGGGTGAGTGCAGGCTTTGGGGCTGAGCAGGCACCAGGCCCCACTGGGCTCTCCAGTTCAGCGGAGGGGTGCGGGGCTGGTGGGACGGGGCGCTCGTGGCTGGGGTGACGCTGACGGTCGCCCTGCGGCAGTGGGCTGTAGAGGGGTGGGCGATGGTGGCTGGGTTTTGGTGCCGGGCTGCAGGGTCTGTGGGGTGAATGGCACCAGTGGTGCCAGGCTGGGTGGGGTGGGCAGCGATGCTCCATGGTGCAAGGCGGGCGCCGGGTCCCCATGATGCTGGTGCTGGGTGGGCTGGTGGGCGCAGGAACGAACAGGGGGTTGGCAGGGGGCTGCAGGGCTGGTGATGGGTGGCCCAGGGGACGGGGGGCTGAGCAGGACAGGTGTCAGTGGGACCCACATGCCCAGAGGCTGAGCATGGCTGATGCTGGGAGGGGATGGGGGCAGAGCACTGGGGCAGGGGGCTTGGCACAGGATCTGGCCCTCCCCCCTGAGCTATGGGTCTGGGCTCAGCCTGGCTGTTGAAGTGCAGAAGCCTCCACCCCAAGGGGTGGATAGCTTGTTAACAGGAATCGTTAGCATGACCTGCTCTCAGGGAGGTGCTTGGGGGACCCCAGAGCCACCGCTGTAATTTGCTCCAGGTCCTGGCTAGGGCTTTGCTCCCAGCCTCTGCATCGGTGATGGCAAAGCCCTGGGCAGCTCTGTTCCCTGCACCACCCCCAGCTCAGGCTCCTGGTGCCAGCCCCAGCCCCTGTGCAAGCACACGCTCCCTGTGCCCCATGCTGGCCCTTGCAGCCCTGCGCCTCTTCCCATTTCTGGCCGGGGCCGTTTCCTGCGCCCTCCACTTGCACTGCTGGCAGCACCAGGAGCAAGGGCTGAGCCCCTGCGGGGTCCTGGGCAGCACCGGGAGCAGGGTCTCGGCTCAGCTCCTGCTTGTGCCCGATGGGTGTTAACAGTCCTGCGAGGAAGTCTGGCCTGGCTAGTGCCTGGGGGGTAGGAAGGGGCTGGAAGGGAGCGAGCCCGGGCCGGCTGCTGGCCCAGGCTGGCTCAGGGTCCTCGTGTGGAAGGCAGGGTGGCAGGAGGGGTCGGTCCTGTGGGACCTCAGGGCTCCCGGTGCTGCAAGGTGTGCTGGGTCCAGCACAAGGGGTCCCAATGAGCCGTGTGGGTCTGGGGGCTTTGCAGTATGAGCTGGCCCTGGCCGGGGCTGGTAGTGGGCACAGGCAGTGCCCCAGCAGGGACCCCCTGGGTGCAGGCATGTCTGCAGGGGACTGTCCCCCCGTGCAGGGTGTGGCCGGTCCTGGAGCCAAGCCAGGGCCGCCTCCACCAGACAGAGCTGTCACTGTCCCCAGGACCAGAAATAGCGGCAGGACTAACCACAGCCTGGCCCGGTGCAGCCTGTGCTGCAGCAGGAAATGTCTGGCCGCCAGCGAGCTCCTGTGCTCCTGCTGCCCGGCTCCCCCCCACTGCCAGCCTCCCCCCGCCACCCCACTGCCCCCGCCACCAGCTCCCACTGTCCCCAGGGACTGGCCTGCGTGCCCCCCAAGCTGCCAGCCCCGGGTGGGCAGTGCTGCCACTCCGGGTGGGGGCTCAGCTAGTGCTTACCTCCCTGCGCTGCTTGTGG